CCCCATTGACCTTGCAGGGTGCAGAAGTCAACTACTGTCCAGGATTGTTAAAAAATTGCTCTTCTCTGCTGTCTTCTCTCTACTTTACAGGTAGTGTTCCCCGCTGTCCTGTGACTTGCGGTTTAGGTGGTATATCTGACAGCTTTTTACTCTTTGGTTTAAACATATTTCCCTTACCCATTAAGACCAGCAACCATTCTGCTCACTACCACAAGCAACTGCTGTTATACATCCATCTTGTGACTAGAAAAATATGTATTAAACTAGTTTCCCAGCAAAATGAATGATATGGAATGGTACCATGTATACGTGCCTGTCCGTCCCCCACAAAGAGTGTCTGAGTCAACTGGCTGGTTTCAGCCATGTGTAATCAATTCAGTGCTCCAACTGTTGGGAAGACCAGAAGCTGGGTAAAGGAGAAAAACCCTGTAAACATCCCAAGTGAAGGAACAAGTGCATAACTTCACATGTTATTAAACACCAGAGAATCCTCATGGGAGAGAGCTCTTATACATGTGCCAGCCACAGGAAAAGCTTCTGCTGAGACTCACAGTCGCCTGAGAAAAGCAAACCCATGGGACTCTTAAGCTTCCCGAAGCATGCTGCTCCCTGAGCTTCCTGCTTGGAAAGCATTGCATGGGTCCCAAATGAGGAATAGTTCCCACTCCAATCAGAATCATTTTAGCATTTGCATTTCAGCTGAGGAGTAACAAATACCAGTTCATAGCATTGTGTTCTTAAAACCTCAAAATACAAGTAACAGCACTGAAACCCTTTGTGTGATTGCATGGCCTGGAAAGACATTATTTCTAAGGTTAGCATTCAGGTCTAAAAAAAGCTCAAAGAAGTCTAAAAAGGTCTAAAATTCAGGAAAATCATAGGTATGTACCAACTCTGGAGGAATTATAAGGTGGGGTTATTGATCTATTGACTCATAGCATTTCTGCTTTTGCAGCAATGATTTTTTATATAATCTGCTCACTGCAGAATAACCTACTCTAATGGGACAGAGGTAGAGCTTTGCAAGACCCTAATAAAGGTATTTATTCAGTAGAAACTGCAAGACAAACTGGGAGGTATTGAGGAAGTTTCAGACTGCCTACTATTCATGCAGAAATAACTACCGTAAAAGGCAAACCCACCCTATTTTAGATAATGCTAAAGTGATTTAGAATAACCTATGCAGGCTAGAGGGGAGGAAGGAAAGCACATGGCTGTAATCACTTGGGAATATTCTGGCTTGCACACAGTGTCACGCTCACTAATAAAGTTACTCACATGTCTATATATAGCTCTGTGTATCCCAAAGATCGTCAAGGTGTTCTGTATAGTTTATATAAATAAAACCCCAACCCTTTCACTCCCTGCCCTCTCCTTACTCTGAACAAAATAGTTGTTAACTATTTCAGAGGAAGACAGATTTTTGTGCCTGTATGTCAATCTACTTTTTCTTTCTGTGTTGAAGGTTTGGTGCTAATGTAAGTGGAAGGTGAGTTTACATATGGAAATATGAGCCCTGCTTCCTGCAGCATTTGGCTTTCCCTTGTAACTGAGTTAATTTACCTGCTTAGTGAAGGAGGCCCAGTGTCACGGCCCAAGGTGAAATGCTACTGCACTTTTCTTTCTTCGAGTTGACACTTTGACCTCGGCTTCATAAGGCTGATTCTGGCAACTGTCCACATACTGACTTCTCACGGAGGTCAGCAGCAGTTCCATAAGCTTCCTACAGGACTGCTGATCAAATGCCAGAGGCAGGCATTTCAGAGGGGTGCCCACCAAAACACCAGCAGCACACAGCAGAGCTCAGGTTACCATGCAGGACAGTTGCATGCACAAGCATCTGATCCACACGTACTGTAGTCACCAAACCCGCATACCTGACTTCTGGGGAAACAGGCCCTAAGGACCGCCTCTCCAGAGAGACATTTAAATATCTAGAGAGTCAGATGTGTACCTCTGTAATTCCCATGGAGTTTCTAATTACATTAGCTACCAAAATCATTTTCTAATGCCCCATGAGGTGCCCATCTGCATGTCTGTGTGCATAAACACCACTGCAGTTTTTGCTCATCTTCTGCTCACTTCTTCAGTCACGCACTTAAGTTTTGTTAAGGTTTCCTGAGCTGGGAAGAACAAGGCTCACCAGCCACCTGGAGGGTGGGCCCTGTGCCACACTGTCATGCCTTCTAGCCTCGGCAGGAATAAACACGGCTTCCCCTCCATGTCCCTGTGATTGCGGGCACTCGACCAGCAGCCTGGCTGCACATGGAGCAGAGAGCTGCTTCCTCAGCATGTTCCTATCGGGCAGCTGGCAGAGACCCAGCTAGGAGGCTACCTCCAAAGCACGTGAATGCACATGCAGCTTTTTCCAGCACAGCAGAGCTGTTCCTCTCTGAGTCTAGAGATCAAGGTCCTCACAAGGAGCCAACTCCTTTCTCCCTTAGGGATTTGTCCACTCTGCCTACAGGAAAACTCTTATGTGCTTGAAAGTTTCACACCAATTATTCCCAAGTTCAGACAACAATGAACACGCATGCAGTGGAGTAACAGTGAAAGCAGTTCCTCGGCATTTCACGTACGCACAGAGCTCGTGTTAGTCACATACAACAGCTAGATAAAAATCCAGCCTGTTGCTTCACAGTCTCCCATCACTGTGGAAATCATTCGGTTGCTCACTTTGCAGCAGTCACCTCCTCATTGCATTCTTCTCCTGCATTTGCTGGTTTTCCCCATTACACAACCCACTTAGCTATTTTTCCTGAATTAAAGTTACTCCCATTCCTTGCATGTTTCCGTGATTACACCATGATTATCTATGATGTAATTAAGAGCTCTGCCCATTTGGCATCATGTGTGCTTTCTGGAGTACCACAGCACTCTGCACTCCTTCTTGGTGCCTTCTGGTTTCCAAGCAGGGCCGTGGGAGGACAGGCACTCAGCTGAGCAGCAGAACTCAAAGGGCTTCCTCGTCAAGACCTAACCTTCCTGGCTTCACAGAAACCTCTATTCTCATATTGAACACCCGAAGTACTTTGGGACAACAGAAACAGAACTCTAACACTTAAGCATATTTCCTCCTCTTTCACTATAATTAAAAGTCTCCTGAAATTACCTCCCTTTCCCCATACATCCCCTCTTGCTTGACTTGCTCCTGGTTTGTACCTTGCCAGCAAAACAGGCAGCTATCAGGGTGTGGGGAAACAAAGGGACAACCACCCTTGGTATTTTCTCCAGACAAAACTGTTCCTGAAGTGCTCCTTCCTCAGTGTGTTCGTTATTGTTGACCATAAAATAATGAAAGGAAAAACATGCCTATGTTAACTTGTCAAGGGAAGGAAGCAGGGCAAGAGGCTTGTTTTTAATTAGTCATTTCATGAACATTTGTGCAAGGACAGAGTTTGCTGCCAAACAGCATCTCAATTAACATGTCCCTGTGGGCAGACATTGCTTGGGCTGATCTGTGGCTTACAAAGGTGTCAGAGGGAGAAGATGCAAAAAGGATTTGTTTGCTTTCTTTTATTCCCCCTCCTCCCCTTTTTGTGTTGCTAGGAGAGGAGACTGGTACAGTGGGTGGTGTGGGAGCAGTGACCCAGTTCAGCAAACCTGGCTTGGATTCTGTGGGACTGAAGTGAGGTGGTACTGAGGAGCCAGCTGGGACCCCACCAGGCACAGAGCATGAAGCTGCTACTAGTGCTTTGTAAGGGAAGAGAGGGGAAACATGAATTGGGAAGACAAGGACAAGGAAGGATCTGAGAAGGCACAAGGACACTGAGCAAAGACATACATAGCCAGACAGCAGTTTTTGTCACTGACTGGTATTTATCAAGTTCTCTAAACTTGGAGGGGATATTGGGGGTTGGAAGGGAGAAAGGAGAAGAACTGAAGGAAAGGAATATATTTTTCCTGGTGAAAACAAGGTGTGCACCCAGGCTTCAGAAAACACAGGCTGTTTTACCACAGAGGATATATGAAAGGTTTTGGCATTTTGTCACACAACAAAAACACCAGTGTTTTGCATCACTGAAACTCCCCGAGGAGCGCAGTAGCATTTTACAGCATGTTAATTGTCACATAATGCAGCCAGTAGCTTCTGCTCAGGAGAGAGGGGTGGCAGTGACGAGATTAAAATGATGATTCAATCAGGAGACTCTCAGAAATCTGCCTAGTGACAACTTTCTTTTTTTTTTTAAAGGCTCAGGCTCTGTGGCATAGTTACAAAGGAGGAGCCTTCATTAAAATTAGCAGACAGATGAAGCATTTGAATGGACATCTTTCAATTCTTTTCTCTTTCAGCTCACAGTAAACCCTCTTCTGTCTTTTCTCACAACAGCTTAAGTTTGCTTCAACAGTTTTGCTTGTCTGTTTTCTTTCCATCACACACAGACACACACACACACACACAAAATCCCTAAATTACACTCTCTCCAGAATAGAATGCAAATAACGTACATTTCTATGATTTCTTTCAGCCAGGAACAATTTAAGAGGCAGTTCTGCTTCTTATCAGCCTGCAAGTTAGTGTGTGTATCACACTATCCCCCATTACAATTTGTGAAAGAGGCACAGAAATTAACTTAGGGTCTGCATCATGATCAGCTTTTGCTGAGCATCCATAACAGAAGTTAAATGTGGTTTATTTGCAAGTTTATCCGATCAGCACAGAAATGTTGTTCAGCTCTGGCTCCAGCTGCTTCTGTTTCTGACACCTGTTGACAGTTAAGGATAAAATTTCCTGCACTAGGGAAGGCAAGCAAAGACTCAGACTGTGCAGATCATAAAGCTAAAATAAGCCCTTGAGCATTCATACATATACTATGTAAGATTCTACTGTTAGTGGTAAAAATCACGTCATACTACATGACTTCAGATATAGGTGTTACAAATGAGGGTAACCAGCAGTTTAATTTGCACCCTCTGTTTCACTACCCGTTAATCATGCAGGAAAGCAGGCAAAGCTCCACTGAGTGCTTTCACCAGAGAAATTAAATGGGGTTGGGTTTTCTTATTTATGCTGTCACTTCCTCAAACCAATTTGTCCAGACAACAGATAACAAAGAAAGCACGTACTCTTGTACTCCTCAGTAAGTGACAACATGTGAAGGTCATACTGATGAAACTCATTTTCTGATTATCATCATCATACAGTTAAGCAGAGCACAAAGCCAGGTAACTTGGCTTTTAAGTCTGTTACATTCCTGGATTTTGGAACAGCTTTCAGCTCAGCAACTTGCTATGCGTGTACTTTGCCAGGCAGAGCAAACCAGCTTGCTTCATTTCTTGCTTGGGTTTGGAATGAAAATGTAGATTCAAAGCAGATGGGGATGTTTCTGCAGCAGCTGAATAGAAATACACAGAAATTGAGAAAACACCCTTCTCCCTCCTCTCCCCCTCCCAAACAAAGTCAGCTATCATCTCATTCTGACAAAGCCTTATTCTTCTGCAGACCACATAAAATTATCTATCGGGTGAAGATCTGAATCTGTGTACTGCTGGGGCTTCCTGCAATGTGCTGGTGAGCCCTTCAGCTAGCAGCAGCAGCCACGTTGCTTGAAGTGCTGCTATCACAGAGGAGCAGGGTGACCTCTGTTCAGGATCTCCTTGAGTGCTTATTTGACATAGAAAAAGAGGGGAAAACAAAACAACAAGAACCAAAGTCAGTGAAACAGAAAATTACTTCCTAGATGGCTAGTACCTCATCGGCATTTACTCTAACCTGTTCTGTATCGGAGCAGCACAGCAAAGCCATCCTCCTAGATTAGAGGTTAGTAAGTACAGACAGCTGGTCTCCCCATGGATATCTCCCCTGCACTGACTGACCTTGCATGGGGAATCCCTCCCTCCTTTATCCTTAGATAAACTCGCATCGTCCCTGAAACCTGAATAACTGTACCATCTCACAGTCACATTGCTTCGGCATCTGTCATGCATCATTGTGAACCACCTTTGTTTTCAGCAGGGAGTTTCAAGTCATTACCTGCCCCAAACAGGATTTGTTCAATGCATTAGTGACTCTGAGGGTTTTCTTAACCCAGGCACAGGAAGATTTCCTGTATTTGCATTTTTTGTTTCTTCTCTGTTGAACAAACAGTTCCTCAGATGATGATTAAAAAAAAAATCCTCATAAAGTCCTCTATATCTCTAAAAACCAAGAGTTTCAAATCTGAATTCTGATCTCTGCCATTCCACCCTGGGTGGGTGCATTTTCCTTGTGCAAACTTTGGATCCCCCACTAGTCTCTCCATGTCTTTTTACTGTCCTCTCAGTGTAATTGATGGCAGCTGTGATACTATGTATTTTCTTCTTCCTCTGGGCAAAACCTCTCCCCCATGCAGTTTCTGTCTGTTCTTTCCCTCCCTTCTTACATAGTAACTTACCTTTTAGGACAACACAAATGCCTCCCCCTGTGATACTGTCCTTATCTCCTCCATGCACAGCAAGAACAAGAATTTCTTCTTCTTGAGAAAACACCCATAAGCTCAAGGAGAGAAAAGGTCAACTGTGACAAGGATTGTGTGTTTCCGTAACTCCTTTTTCTCCTAATCTAGAAAGATTCATATTTACATCTGAACTGAAAAACCCTTGCAAGAACAATAATCTTGCTACACCACATGTATCATCTGCTACAAGGTGAAGAAACTGCTTTTCATTATGAGCGAGGTTTGTTTTTCTGGAATGTTAAAATACCATTTAAAATTAAGAAATGGTCTTTTTTCTTCACCCCTAAAGATAGCCAAGAAAAGTCTTTTTTTTTTTTTTTTTCTAAACCTGGGAATAATAAAATAAAAAGGAACATAGAACTTTTTCTGTAGGGCAAAAAATATCAGCATGAGATTTGCCTAGTTTTTCCTCCTTCTTCAGCAACTCTCAAATACAACTAACGTTGAAATGAAAACAATAAAACAACCAACTGTGAGGACTGTGGAACTGAGGGAAGAAAGAGATTTCTGACCATCCGTTACTGATTCAGTTTCCTGCTGTAAAGCATTTTGCAATTGTGCCTGTAAGACAGACATTGACCATGGGCTGAAGTAATACAGGATACAAAAGTACACACATTTCTTGGTATGGGGTGTCTTTTAGGAATATACCTCTTATCTGAGACCTTGCAATATCATTTTGACTTCCCTAGGCTTTGACTCAAATGCTAAGATACTAAAATGGCATGAGCAGAAATGCAGCAACACAGATGAGTGGGATTTTGGAATACACACTCAAGAGCAACACTGTACAGGGCAGGAAACTAATGCAACTACTTTGTGCCTTTTAAAGTCACCCATGTTTTTAAGTGAAGAAACACAGTTTCTTGTTTGTCACCTGTGGTGACTTGATTTAACTAAGTTTTGTATCATGACTAGAAGATAACAAATGAAAGAGCTGTGTAAATCTTCCCAGCAGAAGTTCTATTTGACAGCGTAATGTTGTCGAATGCACTTTCTATCTGTAATACTGAAAGGGAAAGCTGATGATCTTTGCTCTTTGGAGGTGTCATATACTTAATAATATCCATATTCTTTTCTTTATTCAGATATTATAAATCTATTTTTTCCCTTTGAGAAGATGAGAAATACAGAAACCAGATTTCGAATTAAAGTGGGGTTAAAAAAAAATAAGTCTCATAGAAGAATTTCCCTTCAAGCAAAAAATACAAAGAATGCAAATAAACATTGTGAAGCAATGAAAGACTCCGTTTTACAAAAGAAGAGTACTGTGGGAGCTACTGGGGCATGACCAATATGAAAAATACCACCACTGACAACTTTTCCTGTTATTGAAAGTAGCACCTATAATTTACTAGAGTCTGTAGTGTTTCTATGTACAATCTGGCCTCTGGTCTAGTCAGTGCCAGTTTTCCTGTCCATCGCAATGGATGCAAAAGTTTATGCTCCTCTTTTCCGTGTATAGCACACATAAGTATAAATAAAGTAACAAATCACTTTGCACTTACTGAAGTAGTTGTACCTAAAACTAAATAAATGACAAGGCCACAAATAGTACAAAAGTTAATGACAGATGTTATGGCTGCTCCTCTTTTCAGTCTACTTATTGAAAACTAGCTAAATCTCGTCAACACAGTTGATTTAAAACTTAAAAGTACAGCTATTTCTTTTCCAGTGTCTATGAATAGTTCATCCCTGAACTTCTGGTCAGAGAAAATATCCTGTACTGTCTGCTCTACATTTTTCCGTGCCAAGCTGTACACGGTGTGTGGCCCGCAGCCACTGTTTCACAGAGAGGCGAGCTGTGATTTGAAAAGGCAGATGCACAGCCTCCCACTTCTCAGGTTAGGTCCAAAGTACCTGGAAACCAATGGGGATCCCAGCAGCTCTTGAGCTCCCTGCCCCAGTCCTTGTTACTGGAGGCATGAAGGCAGGGATACCTTCAGAGCTGTCAGAAGCTTATGACAGATGACCTGTATGATCAGGATGCTGGCTACTCTGATGTTAAATATTTGTTTGCTCTTTTTCCTCCTGTCCCACTTCTTCATATACTGCATATAACCAGGCAGCACAAAGTCTTAGTCCATGCTTCAGTTTTTCTGGCTTCATTGAAAAAATTCAGTGTCTTAAAACCATCTGGTACTACTTAATGATCTTTTGGTAACTAAGACTGATTTCTTTTGTTATGCTCTCTGAAGATTAAATTTTGCTCTGGACTTCATTGCCTGGAGGAGGCTATTGTAAACCAAGATACTCAGAAATCAGCAAAAAGATGTTAAAACTAAAACACAAAACCAAAACACTTTAACTCTAGTGGTACTGCTGCCAGTGAGTTGAAGAAAATATCCTGAGATTATGCTAAAACCTGTCTGGTACTGTGGGCTGATGGCTGAAGAACTACTTTCTAACAATGCGCACAGTCTTGCAAATGAATAACACCTCTGTGAGACAAGAAATGCTTCTTTGATGTTAGGTTTTAAATCCTGATTTACTCAAACAAGCCATCATGCAAATAACTAGATTCTAGTAAGCATTACTATTGCTTTAGATTGTGAGGAGGGAAATACAAAGCTCAAGGATTTGCAGTCCCTTTTACAAGAGACTCATTGGGAAGAGCCTGTATCTACTGAATACTGAAAAGCTCCATCAGGATTACAAAGGAAATTGCTATAAAAGATTAAAATATGTGGTCAGCAGTAATAACTCTCCCTCTGTTTATTGTCTGAGATTGTATTTGTGTTGGAGGGAAGATCGGTGTGCTTCAGATATCAGCAAGGAAAAGAGAGAGAGGCTTCAAGAAGGATTTTCCATGGCAAGGTTAAGAAGAGGAAGTGGATGGGGAAATGTGCTGCACAGAGCTGCAGGAAGTTGAAGCTGGAGGAAGGCAGCACAGCAGCTAGAGACTGGAGCTAAAAAGTTTGCTGAGTACAAACACCAACAGCAGTTTTTGGAGATGAAGTTATGAAGCACTGCCAACTGACCTGGTCTTCAGGTCTCTCTTTGTTGGGATGCTCCTGTGGCACCTGCCAGCATTAGCTCATCCCTCAGGGACTGGCAGGCAGTGACCTTTGTTGGGTGTTTATTACACAAGGCTTCCCACTTGCTCAGGGCAGCTAGGAACTTACTGTGTAGTTTGCACAGGCTGTGGAACTAGAAGGTATCACTGTTTTCACTGGCTATAACAGGCTTTTGCTTAAAAAACAGCAAATGCATACATACAGAATACCTGTGTGTACAAAGAACTCAGAGAAGGACTGTAATGAAATTCTGGCTGAAATGATTGCAGCATTTTATCTTCTGTGTTATCTGTTTGTCTGTTGCTTAGAATTACAATAGTGATTTAAGGAGATGAAAAAGGCAGGAGAATCAAGCTAATTCCTCCAGATATGGCTGTTGAGAAAAGCCTTCCTTCTTAATTAAAAGTTTAAGCTTGCGCTTTGCAACTATGGCACTCATTTACAAGTAACTGAAATAACTTTGATTAAAATCAGCCATGAGAAACCATCAACCATGCCCCACATGGCCCTCTGTATCTTCCAGTGCAGAGCAACTCTATGTTTCCCTGATCCTAACAACTTGCACTGAAATCCTTCCTCCAATCTAGCCTGGTACCAGGAGACATGCTCATGTGAACTGAGATACTAACTGTAGGATTTATGAAGCCTTTGAGCTTCATAGTTAGCCTTTGAGGCTGTCTCTGGAGAGCCCTTCCACTCCCTACAGTGAGCAGTGAGTTACTGTATGATACCAGGGCTTGCACGAGACACCACTTAGCCTTCATTTTACATTACAGCTGAAACAGGGCATCAACCTTCTCCAGTTACTTTGCTTATACAGGCCACAACTGCAGATACAGATTCACAGAGAATTACAGTAACCAATCCATAGCAACATACAAAATTTAGGAAACATATTCTGTAAGCACTTGAAGTACTTTCTGTTACTCCTCAGTGTCCCTGCGGGTGGTGCTGACACATGCTCCGTACCACGCGTGTGCCCAATGCCCTCATATAAGGCTGGCCCCGGGTTTGTTGTGACTGGCCAGTGAAAGGAATGTACTGTTGCCAAAGGGAGAAGATGGGAAATGGGATGGGCTGGGAGGCATGAGCACTGTAAACGTGGACTCTAAAGAGCTTCATGCCATAATTTCTCTGAAGGATGTGGTACGCTGCAGAGGTGAATCACAGCAGTCTCTAGTGCTCACCTTACTTGCTTTAGTCCTTCACATGCTTTTTTAAAGAGTAACTGCAGGTACTCCAGAACAGCTGTTTCTGCTCATCTCATTTTTAATTCTAAGTTTGGGTGCAACTAACTTTTCAGAACGTTTGCTTAATCATCAATACTTATCATAAACTTTTAAGATTGTATTGGTTTGGGGAGCTGCGGCATGATTCTGATTTATTACACATCCATTACACGCAAGCTTTTGTGAGCTGGATGAGGCTGTTAGGAAGGGTTGTTTGCTGGGGAGTACAATAAGCAGATAAACTTTGCCATTCATCACTGTCTCCCACTCTTCCCACAGTAAAATTATTAGCTCGTTTTCTCATAATCAACCTGGCTGACCCTCAAATTGTTAACAAACCAAAACTAAAGTGTCCTTATATGCATTCCACAGTGGCATGCATGCTAGCTTAAATGACTGCACTAGACATTTAGTATCCTGATAGCTGTCTCCTTTCTTATCCCACACGATCCCCCCTTTCTCTTTTTAAAGGAATAGCAGCTTTCACTGCCCCCAAAGGCTGTATGGAAGTAACACTACCAAGTGCACACTGTGCATTTTCTTCTGAGCAAAACCAGTTGCATGTCAGAAGCTTTATGCCTATCATCCTTGCTTTGCCCCCAACCTTATTCTCCCCCTGATGTGTTTTAGGGGAGGGGAATGGAAGAGGAAGTGAAGGTTTGTGTTGGCAAGACAAGCAGTGACTGTGCTGCACAAGCACACTTCACGTATAGGCTTACGGGAACCTGCCCAGCACAATGCAAGGCGTTCATCCCTTCACCTGCATTCCTGAGCTCAAGACCACCACAGCTATTAGACTTCTGGCTGAAGGACTCGCCTGGCAAACACTTGGCGTAACCTTGCCAACTCGGAGCAGCTCTGCAGGACTTGCGGGATCAAGTCCTCGTTGCTGGAGGTGTGGATTTAAGTTAACGAAAAGTCACCTGACCCTTTTGAGGAGAGCTCACCTGCCCCCTCCCAAGGGAGGGTGAAGAGAGGCATTTAAAATGCTTTCATTAATTTTCACCATCCGTAGTGAAGATGTTTACTTAAGCTGAAAAGAAGTCTCAGCTATGATTTATGAGTTCCATACAAAGTACTCCCTTGGCTTAGATTTGTCTGTAGTTCCCAGCTTTCTAAATCCAGTTGAGTGTGTATTTTACAATGGTGAGCTTTTTATCCACACTGCTTCTTTGTGCACTGAGAGCATGACTGTGTTATGAGCAGACAATAATCAATTAGTGAAATGATATCTTGTGACTGAGAATGTGAAGTGGGCTTTGCAGGGACTGACAACAGCTCTTTTAACTCATCCCTTTCTGTATGTCTCTTAAATATCCCAAAATATCAAAGGTCTTTCATTAGAGCTTCAAACTCTCTCAAATCCACATGGGCCACTGGATACCTCGGAAGACTAGGAACTGAAGTGAGCCGGCAGCAACTGGCGACTTGCCAGAATGAAGAATAACCGACTGTTTTCAAAGCTTTGAAAATATTTGAAAAGGAAGGACAGAGAGAGGAGTGTTGCAGTTCCCTTCAGGACTCCTCAAATACCACTCTTCCAAGTGTCAGCTGCAGGAGTCTCAGAGTCTTAGTGAGAGCTAAAACACAATCTGCCAGCTTTTACCCCCCTCCTCTTTTAGCTTGGCGGCAGTGAATTTTCTGTCTCTTCATGTTGCATCTCGCCATAAAGAGGAAAATTTAAACAGGAGAAAGAATGTGCTTTGAGTTATTGGAAATTAAAGGAAAGCAGGAATGCCAGCTCATTCTGGGATCCCAACCCTTTCTCTGCACAACAATCCTAACTATCCAGTCTTGTAATTTGGTTAAAGGGAGAAACCTTCATGTTAGAGCTGTGTTTTAAGACAAACATTTTGTTCACAAAATCTAGACTTTTTACTAGTTTCCAGTTAACCTGAAACACCAAAAGGAGATCCCACAGGAGAGCAAATGTGTGTCTCCCTGTAGTAAGATTTTTTCTCTATTAGCTCTCTAACAAAGTGTTTCTTGCCACAAAATACATACAATTCCTCCTATACTGCCCATTTTTGCTTAAATGTGAAGATGCTTTAAATGGCTGTACAGAAAAAATGCATTCTATGTAAGCAAGGATGTAACAAGATAAGAAGGAGCTCAGAAATGGCCTCAGTTGTATGGAAGCACAAACTGGAGCCTGTTGCTTGGTTGTCAGAACAGGATTAATAGTGGCCTTCTAAAGAAAGAAACTTAAAACTCTCTTGCCAAGTAATAAAAACCTGAAATTAGAAGGGGGGGGGGGGGGGGGGGGGGGGGTGACTGTAGCCATGATAGTAACTATAGAAATCTGTTTTTCAGGCCAAGCGTAAGAAGCTAGGCTGTAACTCCTTGATAAATGCTGGCATGATGTGAAGTGAGCATCTTTTAACTCACAATTTATTTGGGCTCTGGGTCATTTTATCTAAGATTAGTCAATGACCAAATTCTTTCAAGCTCGCTTGTTGGGCATTCAAAATGAACATGTAGTCCCACATCTTCATCTCCAACCTAAAACTGAAGGGGGCGGCCAACAACAGTACCCATGCTAGGCTCTCTTCTGTGCTCAGAACCATAGTAAGGCAGCACTGGCTCTCACTTTTCATTTCTCTCCCAGAGCTGTGCTTTTATCAAGGTTAGATCTCGACTGCTCTTAAATTGTCAGCTGGCTCTGGTCATCAAAAACACCTTCTCTTTCATCTCTTGTACATCTGGAGAGGCAATTGTAACTGTTTTCTCAGATGTAGATTTCAGCACGATAATCCATGCCATTGTTGCATGTAGATTGCAATAACCCACATGAAAACTGCTCCTGAAGACCACACACGAATGCAGAAAGAAGCTGAATGGCAACCATAGCTCCAGGGAGCATCTTCTAATGGATCTCTAAAAATGCATTAGATTCTTATCTTCTGTGGTGCCTCTGAGGTGTTTGTGCCAGTGGCTCACAGACTTAAACATGCCAAAGTCAGGTTTTAAGGAAACAACTTCCTCCGTAAAGCGGTGTAAAGTAACAAGCTTGTTCTGCTGATTTAAATGTGATTTATACAGTCCCTCTTACACTGGCAGAATAAAACTGATTTTAATTACTGGGGTAAAGCCAAGCTAATTCATACAGGTATTTGAAATATTATGTAGGCACATGTTATAGCTGCTTGTATATCAAATATCTGAACCCAGGGAAAATCTGGCAGAATGTGGCATGTGCATTAAGGTCTCCAAAGAACAGACTGTTGCATTTGCTTTGTGACCTCCATGCATCTGGTCAGGGAACAAATGGTATGGATACAGATCCACCCAGGGAGGAGATCAGATGTCATGAACTGGGTTGTTTATTTTGTCTTAGAGGGGGAGTATTGATAACAGTCTTCAGTTACATAGGGAGAAAGGAGGCATAGCACAAAGAAAAAAGGCTGCTCTGCGAGTCTGTGGTAAATGGGAAGAGACAATCTAGGGTTATATTTTAAATGGTAGAAGCTTTCTAATAAGTAAGGCTAATGAAGCACTGTATGTGTTATTATACAACCCTCATCATTACAGACCTTTGGAAACAAGTTGGAGTGGACTGGTACAGGTCTGGCTGCTGCTGCCCTAGAGCTGAGAAACAGGGCACTCACATCCTCAGGCCCCTGACAAACCTGTTTTTCCCATGTATTTATGAGCAATTGGTTTGACTTGTAAGTTGTACAAGGCACAAACTGGAAGGAAGGAAGAAGAAAAAAAAAAGGCAAGTGGGCATGAAAACACACATGAATCACACAACAAAACAGCACAAGATCTTTCCAAAGCAAGTACCCTTGGTTTGGCTCAACTCTTCCAACTTCACCATCTGGAAATAAATCCCTAGAAGGGTGTAGGAAACCATGCAGAACCTGTAGTTCACTACAGCATCCCAGCCTAGGTGTGATTGAGGTGTAAAAAAAAAATAGAGTAGAAATGTGTAGAGGGGTATGAATGATACTGTAGTGAGGCTAGTGAAGGGGCTGAAAGCTATGCTGTATCACACATGGGAGCAACAGTCATAGTAATCCTCAGAGCCATCAACCCTTGTCTCTGCATTTTCCCCTCTTCTGTTTTAAACAGAACTGGGAGACCAACAGGACTTCCTACTGTGAAGTTCAAAGGATAATGGAAAACAGAGATGCATAAAGACGCTTTCTGAGGATGCTACAGCCCACAGTGTTTTACTCTTTTCTATCAGTTCTCCCACCCACATACCAAACAGGACCGTTTTTGTTCCTATTTTCTAATGTTAGTGTCCCAACACAATGAAACCCTGAAATCTTTAGCTTGCCAGTGGTTTTTTGTTTGGGTTCTCCCTTTCTTCTTTATTAATGGGGTGAAGAGAGCCAGGAGAATATCTTCCACTGGTTCTAGTTCTTAAGAGAGATGTACTAGATAGTGAATAACTTTACCAACAGCTGTGATGAAATCATTATGTATAACTAGCCTTTGACTGGTGTTAGGAAGTCACCAACCCAATAAATCTGTGCTATATCCAGGTCTGAAGCCAGATGGACAAAGATCACAGAAATGGGAAGATAATGATGACACTGACCTCTGAGTAACCTTCCCTAAACAGCAGGTTGATAACATCAAGTGTGTCTTAAAGAATGGTTCAGTCACCAATACTTGCTTACTCTGGCATGCTCATACAGAGGCAGGCTGTACTATAGAGATCAGTCAAAGTAGCATGAGCACTTAGCTACTGCTTTCCAGTAGCTGATTTTAATCAGAGACCAGTGTCACATTACCATCTGACACATGGGGTAGTGGAAGTACTGAGAGGAAAATCATCCCTCAAGTTACAGCATCTCTCCAGAAATCTAAAACCAGGTCTGAGCACCAGTTGTGTACCTGTGTCGTGGTTTAAACCCAGTCAGGGGTAACACCACTCACCCTACCTTGCCAGCCTTTGCTCAACACACTTAACCTAGCCTGGAAACTGGCTCAGATGAAGAAAAAAAGAGACCAGGTGGTCTACCTGGATCCTACCCCAGTGTGGTGAATTACCTGAATGATGCCCTGTGGGGTCACAATTTGAAATACTGCTAGTCCAGACTTAACAGTCACATGGAAAAGTGTCTCATTATACCCAGGCACAGAAGCATCTCACTAAGCCCATGCTTATTTGAGCTTTCCCAGTGTTTCAGACTATGCCTTCCATCCCTGTAGCCTTCCTATTACAATTATCAACTGCAGAGACTCTCAAAACCAGGTGAAAGGTTGTTTTAGTGCAGCTTCCTTGTATTCTTGAAAGATGTTTAATAGTCAAAGTGGTGCTCAAGAAATTGAGCAATCCTCATCTTAACAGTGTTGGCATACCAACACCAATGCCAAGTAGGCTACCTTGACAAGTGATACAGCTCTGTGGTGTGGCTTGTCAGTATAAACCAGCCAGATCCACCACACTCCACATCTAAACCACAGAAACAAGCTCACCACCAGCAAGAAAAAGCACAGGTGCCAACCTCATCTTGAATGTTCTGGTTATTACAGCAGGAAGGTCCTTAAATCCAACCTGGTTCTAAAGTTCAATGGTTTGGGAAACATTTCTAATCTAGTCATAATAGGGTGGCATTACAAGTGACTTGAAGAGTTGTGTTATTCTGTTAGAAGTGCTACATGGTACAGTTAGGTGCAAAGTTTGCATAGGACATAAATCACAAAAAAATAGGAACTGGAGAGCTGTGTGATGATACATTAATAATTCCTACTTAGATGCTCTGCTCCCTGAATTAATTTCCTTCACATACTTGTTTTTTTTTCCACCTGTGTCGTTAAGGCATTTAATTTTCACTCCTGTTCATTTTATGCAATTGTTAAAATAGTGCAGTATTCATGTCTGGGTATATATTATGCAGTATCCAGTCTTGTTGATGGTTATATAATGTAGCAAGGGGAAATCACTGTGCAGACTTCAGCTTTACTCTCTTGCCTTCTCTATTAAGGTCAAAAAATCAAACTGATTCAAGTGCTTTTGCGATTAGATCATCACATCACTGAAATGCAAGAACTGGTGTCAATAAATTGAGGGGGGGGCTTAGCATTAGTTGATTTAAAAACGCATGAATTATAAGGCTTCTGGCTTGGGTAAGATTTAATGAATTATTAATCTTCATATTTCACAAATCCTGTGCTCTTCATTCCCTTATGTCTGCTTATAACTATATTTGCTAGTCACCATTTCCCTGTAAATTAAGGATAAGTTAGCTATAAATCAGGTCACAAATTTTAGCTATTCCACATTTTCTTTTCTGTTTGACACAGATTATTCGTAGATCTAAATGCCAAAGAAGACAATTATATTCATTTAATATGACTGCCTGCAGAATACAGTCTCATGCAGTAGTTTCTAGATTAACCCTTAACTGCTACTTAAAGCTACAATGAGAAAGCGATACAATTAGAAATATAGACTTAAAAACCCTCACGGGACAGTGAAGTTGGGGCATCCTTATGCAAGTTTTTCCCAAAGCATTATGAATCCACTGAATAAATATACTATCCAAATGAAGCGACAGCTGAATGTAGTGCAAAAGGATCCCATTGTAAGGCATGGAGCCCAACTAACAACAGAGTATTATTGTCCTTCTGAGGCCTACTTTACATCTGCCTTGAAGTTTTGCAGTGTTTTCCTCAGCTACAACCATTGCAGAGGGCAGCAGTGGTGCTGGTAGAGAGCAGAGCAAACCCCTTAGGGCCTGTTGTGGGGTTCAGAGCCTCAGTTCAACTTGAACATGAATGCAACCTCTCTTTCAAATCTGCTTTGGACAACAGGGTTTAAATATTTTCTCATGGGTCCTTGGCTTCAGAAAAGCACATTGAACCCCTATTTAAACAGCAGGCCCACACAGGGGTTTGTTTCTGATGGTGTTGTATTTATTACAAACTACCAGCAAACCTGGCTTGGGAAGGAGCTGTTCTGCTAATGGCAAATCACCCAGAGTCTGGACAGGTGTAGTCCCAGTCTTGCCTCTCCCATTAGCTCCCATGTGGAAGCTTGCTTTATTTCTCAGTGTATAGACACGGTGCACCTTAAGCACAAAACATACAGGTAATCCTTAAACTATACGACAGTTTTCATGCATGCAACATTTTATCTCAGCAAGAATGGAAATATCTCACTAATAAGGAGCTTTCATGTGTTGCCTCACCCATTAGCCATCTGAGTTAACTGCACATCTTTTCTCCTCTAGTGACATTTGCAGCTTCCTTACAGATGTAAACCCAAGGCACAGCTGAAGCAACTACTAGTTAGACAGGCCAAGGGAAAATGACCACCTGGCTATAAATCATGGTATTGAGTGTCATAACTGCTTACACTTTTTGTTCCCCAAAGTTAAAAAAGAGAAGACTTTGGTATAGAGTTAATCAGAAACAGTTTCACATCTACGTAAATCCAGGAGATTTGGTTTAGTGCAGAAATTGAGCTTTCTGATACTTCCATGTATGAGTGTCCTTACTTAGGAATAAGTACTCATGCCTTTTCTCAAATTTTCATTCATTCTTGAATTAAGAAAGAAAATCCCTTCACTTTAGGAGCTTTTTCACTTGTTGAAAGTTGGCAGCATGAGGTTCAGAGGAGAGAAGCAACTGCACAATGGCACATAAAAATACATAGCAAATTATGCCAGAAGTGAAGCCAACTACTGTAGCCAGGCAACAGGAGCAGGAGAGTGTAAGCACAAAGTACAACTTACCAAACTGGAGTTTAGCAAGATATATAGGTAAACTTACCTCCTGTCTCAAAAGTGCTACAAGTCTGGGAGCAATTTAGACCTCTGTGTCATCTAGCGGTGGCAGAAGGGTGCCAGCAGGATGGAGGCTGTGGCAGCATGCCAGGAACAACCCAGTGAGCTATCTACAAGCTCCCAGGTATCTGACTTCTGCTTTCTTAAGTCTCATCCTGGTAAATGATTGAGCACAAGTCAGTTGAGGTCATGATCTGAGGATATTTCTGCCAGGGAGAAAAATCTCTGAGGAGATACATTTCTCTCACAGCCAATCTCAGAGGGGGAAACAACTCATCTGACATGCCACCTTTTGGTTCTTTTAGGGCTACAAGTACTCTGACACAGCATCTCCCACCTAGTTTTTCTACTGGGAATCCTGCCCAGCTTTGCAGGAGATTGTACTCCCCTGCAGTGGGTGTATTTGTCCATTTCATTCATTCATTCATCTGAGCTGCTTTGCATTCACAAAGTCCCCAGATATGTTGTTATATAAAATAAGGTATGAACCTCTAGAACTGGCTAAAAGTAAAGAAAGATTTTCTGTGAAAGAAAGTGACATTAATTAAGAGTACTTTTGCTGCCACAGAAATGTTTGTTACACTTGTAACACCACCTTCTGCAGTCTTTTGGTATTCCTTTATTGATAGAGGGGGCAGGAATAAGCAAAACTTGCCCATAAAACAAAACAAAAAAAAAAAAAAAAAGGAAGAAATCTCAAACTGTTTCTCAGTACCTTGTTTCCAATTTGTGCCCCACATGTGCCAAGAAATAAAGGTATATACATTGATTGCATCTGAAAAAGTCAGATGGTGGTGGGCTGAATTACAACTTGATGCATATTGGTGGGATGAGATGCTGATCCGTTTGCACAGTAATGTGCTATATTTAAGTCACGCATTGTGGCATCTTCAAAGAGGCCAGTCATAATTATGATGGATTAGACTGCAGAGTCAGTCCTAGATGCAGTAATTGTTTCACAGATGCTGCTGATGTGACTTGAATATCTAATGAATTATAGCTGAAGAAAAATACATGGAGCTTCTAAATGGCCTGAATAAAATTCAGTTATGGAAAAGAGAAAAAAGTCTAACTGCTACGCTTAGGGAAAGGTAGATTTACGTTGAGAGGCAGACAGTTCACCCCACAACAATTACAAAGAAGAGCACAGAAACTTCGTAAAGCACAACCAGGTCTACTTAGTAGTAGCATCAAGAATATCTTCCTGGTGTCCCAGTTGAAACCAGTAGTAAGGTACTGCTGCCATTTGTTTTTTTCCAGTTTTAAATTGCAAATAATCGTTGTGATTTGTAGCTGCTGGAGCAAGATTTGTACTGAGGTGTGACTTGAGGATTGTGAATAACTGAGTGTAGACTGAAAAGGAAGTATAACATCAAGTCACCGTAATCCCAGATGCATTTCAAAGAATGCAGATCTGCCCCTTTTAATCAATGGATTCACTTTGTATTTTAAAGAACCAAATGATTCCTACATCCTTTGCAATGTCTAACACTGGTGCCTTTTACACTGGAGGTGATCAGAATCTGGGGGAACTGGTTGACCAATACCATGAGGTGTTTGAGAATACTGTGAATAACAATCCATGTCACACAGCAAACTTCACCTTGTGATTTCCAAGGACCGCGTGAACCTAAGACTCTTTTCTGCAGCACAGATGTGCTCCTTTGAGGGGTTTGCAAGCCAAGCTGAGAGAGGTCAGGCAGCCCCCACTTCTAAACAGAAAGGTGTTTTTACTTATCAGTAAGGAGCTGAGAAGAAAGATTAGCTGGCAACTCTCAGAAGGGATTTAGTTGCAACCTACATGGTTGGTTCTGGTACACCAGAACACAAGCAGCAAGGCAGATTCTGAAAGCCAGAGTTTCTCACAGCTAATTCATGCAGACTAAAACTTTTTTAAATAAATGCTTTAGAAGCTGCTTGGCAGCACAGTGTTAATTACTGTGGGGCCTTTTATTTCATTTCATACTTGTGAAATACACACAAGTATTGCCTACACACTCATGTCTGAGTTGTGGTTCAGCTGTAGTTTCTAGGTATGAAAAGTGTGAAGGCAAAGAATGGTTTCCAAATTAGGCTGACATTTTATTTCTGAGACACTCCGAAAGCATCATTCTGCTGCCCAGCCTAGAATGACATGTCAGAGGAATCCTTTTCATGCTGCTTTTCTGTTAAGTGTGGAATACCGTCTCCCTGGAAAGCCGAAAAGGCTTTTGTCTTGTGGTACTTTAAAGCTAGGCTGGGAAATACATTGAAATATATTTAGAAGGGAAGAAGCCTACCTTACCTTGTCAAGAAAATAGGTAAGATGGACAATCTTTTCCGTCTCCCTATTCTTAGCTTTCCCTTCAGAAACTCTTTTTTAAAGTACTGTTACTTGTAGAGAGAACATCTCTACTTCTGTCATACAAAACATAAATTGGGTACAGAAAGAAAAGAAAAAAACTTTAGGAGGTCAAAAGTAAATCTAAACCCAAATTTGGAATAAGGAGGAAGTGGGTACAACTCACCATATAGGTGCCTGCCAGTCAAAATGTATGTTTGAATCATCCTGGTGCTGAAATTGGAGCTGCAAGCAGAGGGAATTCTGCTGGATGTAATGAATCTCATGAATTAATATTACTTTTAAAAGCAACTTAGTAAGGAGATACTGCACTGAAAGCTGTATAAATTACGTGTTCCTTTGCATTTAAAGAAAAATAGAAAAAATTAGTGTGGCATAAATACGTAAGCAATAGCAACCATGTGTAGTGCTTCTCCTGACTGCTGCCCAACCAGAGGTGACCTGGTGATGGAAAACCTTTCAGATTCCCCTTTATGCAAACTGAAAACAAAAGCTTCAGGACAAAGACATGCATGAGTCCAGATTTTCTCTGTGCAATCTCACATCTGTAAAACCCTCTGTCAGTCTGTCTTCTGTCATTCGCGACTGGTTAAGAACTTTAAAGCCAACAAAGAATAAATTACAAGCAGAGTCAAACAAGGGCTTTATCTGAGTTAACTGGGATTGTGAATCCTGGGAAGACCCATGTGAACAGGATCAGCTTGTCATTATATGGAATTTGTTCACTGCACACTGTCTGTACTTTATCCAATGAAAAACTTCATTTTATAAATAAAATGTAAAGAGTATATGAGAGAATGGGATTTTCCATCCAAACAAAGAGGAAAAGAATCCCAGTTCCACAGCTGTGGGGCTCAGTTCAAACCCGGAATGCATAGTTTAGGCCATGTTTGATGTCTACATGTAAATTTGAAAGGATATTAATACCTGAAAAAAATACCACTTCCATCAAACCTTTCAGAAATCAGATTTCAATTTTAGGTATTTCAGAAACCAAACCTTTCAGCTTTGTTTCTGTCAACGTTACCAAGGTGTTGATGGACTGTAAGAGTTCCAACGGACAGCAGTCAGGCATGGCTTTGTCTCACATGTATCGCACCACTTGCATGGTCTTTAGGAATGCTGGTCTTAAAAGACCTTGTCAGACAGCTGAAGACAGAAAAAAGGAGGTTTTCCCTTCTAATTGGCAAGCTTGGTGGCAATAATCCTTCAAGTCACACAAAAGAGGTTTGGCACACTTAATCAAGTAACAGAATTAGCACCAAGTCTGGGAACCATGGTTTCGGCATGACTTTCTGCCTTACCACAGACAAGAAGTGATGACAGAGGAGTATATGTAAATCATTCAAAAGCAAAGACTATTTTTTTCACCATTCGGAGAGATTTTTTTTTGGCAAAATATCTGTGTGTGCTAAATAGGGTAAGGAACCACTCTGTATTTTCACTCTCTTTTCATCTTGAAGAACAAACCTTCAAGAAAAAGGGAGACATGGGGCTGCAAAACATCACAGGATAGTGAAACACCCCTCAGGTGTGCCTGCGAGCTTGCATTGTGTGGTGGAGCTGGTCAGGACAGAGATGCTTGAACGCTGCAGGAATTGTCCATAATTGGTTTCCCATCAATGGAAACTAAAATTGACTAAGATTCTCTCCTGTTTCTTTCCTCTTTCAGATACGTTCAGAGGGTAGCCTTGTGGATGGCCCCGGAGCAGGCCAGATGGAACAGGACAGAACCAACCATGTTGACGGCAATAGATTGAGTCCATTTCTAATACCGCAATCTTCTCACGTTTGCCAAGCAGAGCCTTCTGCGGTGAAGCTACAGAATGGAAGTCCAGCAACAGAGAGGCCTGAAGTTGAAGTAAATGGAGACCACAAGCAGCTATTCATTAAAAGCAACTATGGCATGCCCCACCTGAAGGGAAATCCAAACAACCGTGTTAGCCCTGACCTTTTACAAGAAAAGAAAGTATATTCCAAATATATGCAAAATGGTGGGATAAAACGCACTTTTAGTGAGCCCTCTCTGTGTGGACTTCATGAAAGCAAGAAAGTAAAACAAGACAAAGAGGTAAATGGAGGAAAAGTTGAGCCAGAGGATAGTAACGAAAAACCAAGCGTCTCCAATTGCTACAGTGAGAAGAAACCCGAGAGTTTTACAGGACAAGAAAATGAAGTTTCAGATTTGATACAGTCTACAAGATGCAACAGTGGTGGTTCAGAAAACCCTCATGACCTCCTGATTCAGGATGAGCAGGACCGGGAAAACGTTCATTGCCACAACAGGGACATTGTCTTACTACTTAAGAACAAGGCAGTGCCAATGCCTAATGGTGCTACAGTTTCTGCCTCTTCCATGGAAAGCATGCATGGTGAACTCCTGGAGAAAACACTGTCTCGATATTATCCAGAACATGTTTCCATAGCAATGCAGAAGAACACATCTCATATCAATGCCATTACAAGTCAGGCTACTAACGAGTTGTCCTATGAGGCAACGCCTTCATCCCATACCTCAGGGCAGATCACTTCCCCACAGACCTCAAACTCTGAGCTGCCTCAAGTGCCAGCTGTAGTGGTTACTGAGGTCTACAATGCAGAAGACTCCAGTAACCCGCCTGTATTGCCAGGTAGCTGTTCACTTCAGAAACCAGAACTACAGCTACAGCAACAGATTCCAGGCTATGATCCACACCAGTTGCCCATAGGAAACAGTACTGTTTGTGGAAGTGTAGGGCAGGTTCCCAACCAAGACCTCTCTCTAAGTTCCAGCAGTAACCTGCAAGCTCAGAGTGTCATGCTGGAAAGATATTCTGAGCAAGCAGAAAATAATGGTGCTCTCTTTAAACAGAACTCAACCTTTCACAAAGATTCCTCCACTCCTCCTGCTCCGGAAATGAACAGTGCACTGTCCGTTGTGGTGCAAGAAGGACACCATTCCTATAACAACAGATGTGATGAAACTCTTCCTGGGGAGATAAAGAATGAAGGGCAACAGCAGGGACCAATGTCAGAAAGTCCCAGCCTCAGCCAACAACTTCACCCTCAGCAGAGACTTCAACAGCAGGCACAAACATCACAAGATGACAGTGAAAGCAACCCGCAAGCTGCTGTGGCCGCCTCAATTCAGCAGCACCCAGAAGACATGGCGCCGGTGTCAGAGCCTCCCCTCCAAAGCCTGCAAGCATGTGGAAACAAGGGTGAGCTGCAGCAACACTATCAGCATTTCCCAGGACAGAGAGAACCCGAGATTCCTCCTGACAAAGAAAAGGACCAAGTGAAAGAACCTGTGAAACAGGCTCAATGTTATTCAAAACCAGCCTGGATAGAACTGGTTTCCACCCAGTTCCACCAGGGAGACCCTCCCAAAAAAAACAGCGAAGCATTATTGCGATCAATTCTTCAGTTCCAGGCAAACAGAGCCAAAATAGCCTATACAAAACAGTATGCTGGAAGTCCTGGTGCATTAAAGGGGCCTTCAGGGCAGCCCCAGAGCCAGAAGATAATGCAACAGGAACAAATTCCTCCGCTGTACAAAAGCGAGACCTCCCAGCTGCAGCCGCATCCCACAGCTGACCAGCAGCTGCTGTTCCAGAAACACTCACCGCAGCCACAGCTCACAAAGATGGATTCCCTACTGAAGTCCCAAGTGCAGCAGCACCCTCCACAGCAGCTCCATTTCCAGCCAAGACCAGAACAACAAACCGAACAGCCTTTAGGGGCCCTGCTGAAACAGCAGCACTTGAATCCCAAGCCAGGGGAAAAGGAGCAATTCCTGCATTCACACCTCTTGCAACAGATGCTTAAAAAACCCTCACAGCAGGTGCAGCTGCCGTGTAGTGCACAGCTAACCCCAAACCAGCAACAGGCTCTGCAAATGAAGAATAAAGACCTGCCCCAAACCATATCCCGCTCCCAAAGTGGTGCTGAACAGTCACTAAACAGGACATCCTTCAATCAGCATAAAGTAAATGAATGTTTTCAAACTGGGAATAAGTACATGAAATCACCCGCATTCCCACTGTATAACCCTCAGCTAGGCCTAGAGCAGGGACAGGGCATGAACAACAAAGCTCCCCTTTACACTCAGAAGGCAAACGCCAGTCTGCAGCATCCCTGCCCAAACAATGTGCACTTGATTTCTGAGAAGAAAGAAAACGCCGCAAATATTGAACACTTTGGAGCCAACAAAATGCAGGACTTACAACATGTGCAGTATTTTTCAAATAACTTGACCGCAAAGCAAGATGTGAATCACTGTTTTCCAGAACAAGAGCAGCAGACGCAACAAGCTTCAGTTATACAGCTACCACCACTCCAGCAGACACAATGCTACGGTGGTAGACTGAACCAAGATCTCCCGAGCCAACAAGCTTCACAGATTCCTCAGCAGTACTTACCACACAGCCAGCAAACTGCCCCACACACCCAAGACCAGAGAAGCTGTCATTTGCAGTCCCAGCCCCCTAAGGATTTTCAAAAGCATGCTGCTCTAAGGTGGCATCTCTTGCAAAAACAAGAGCAACAAGCATACCAGCAACCCAAACCTGAGACCGGTCCCAGTGCAGTGCGTAAGCCTATAAAACTCGAGGCTGGCACAAAGCCTAACGTCTGCATGCGTCCATCAGCTGGACAGCTGGAAAACAAAATTTGGAAAAAAACAATTAAACAAGAGAATCAGCACTTTGGCTGCGAGAACATGCAACAAAAGAGCATCATCGAGACAATGGAACAGCAGCTGAAACAGATACAGGTCAAATCACTGTTTGATCATAAGACTTTTACTATCAAATCACCTAAACATGTGAAGGTTGAAACAGCAGGTCCTATTACCATCCTCTCAAGAAATACTGGTGCTGCAGATTTTGACACTCAGACCCCGATCTTAGATCAACAAACAAACTTGTCTGCTGAGAAAACCCCGACCAAAAGAACAGCTGGAACTGTTCTCAATAATTTTTTAGACTCACCTTCCAAGTTATTGGATACTCCTGTAAAAAACTTGTTGGACACACCTGCCAAAACCCAGTATGATTTCCCTTCGTGCAGCTGCGTGGGTAAGTGCTGCGATGTATTAAAAAATGTACTAATTTACAGGAAGGAAACGAATCTCCAAGTTAGGATCATGGAGTTAGTTGGGTATTTTTGTTGGAGGATTTGGGGGGTTGGAGGTTTTTTAGAACATTAATTAGTAAAGATATGAAATTGCAATTTTATGCACTTAT